TCTGAACAAACTTTCGATAGACAAGGTGGATTTGAAGGACAAACGCGTTTTGATGCGGTAAATTAGTGCTACATTAATTTTTGTCGCCACAAATTGGTATTCTTCCTTTACGTATTTACTCATGTTTGTCCGCAATATTTAGCCGTTTTTTTCAATCAATTTACAGCATAATGTTATGTGAAATCGTGTAGAGGTTACTTCGCTCTTTCTGAAAAGCATATTATCTGAAATCCTACTTGTGAGCATTTCTGTTTGTTTAGTGAAAACGTGAAATGGACACAGAAAATCCCATTTCCACAACTATTTCAGCATACGGCGTTATAGTTTTTGAGTAAAACTTCGAATTTGATGCTGTGAAGTTCGTCTAGCTGCTGGATCAGCAGAGCTTTTACAAGTGTTTTAAATCTGTTTTTGTTTTTCAAGGAATTTTGGCGAAACTTCAAGTTTGTCTCGTTTGTTCGTCATCATCAAGGTTTTTCGATCCACTGCTGAATGAACACCTCTCTATGACGTTGTCACAATCTTCTATTTTCTGTGATAGTTATTGATCCACTCAATTTTTTCAGTTATCTATACCTTCGAACTGAAAGACTTCTTACGGGCCCTTTACTCTCTCTTTTGGAACCTAGTCCTAACCGAATCAATCGCAAACTTTTGTTTGTGTTCTTATCCAATCATTTGTCTTCCTATCTTTTCTTATAATTTCCAACACAGATTTCAATGCTGCGTTGCATTAAAATATATCTTGTGAATAGCTTTTAGGCTTAGGTTTTACATATTGCACCAATAATTTAGCTCTGGGAGCAATCATTGATCGAAACCTTTCTTTTTCTAGCACAAAGGCAGTTTCTCAAAAGGGAACATTTTTAGTGTTCCAAATATATTAGCATTTTTATTCTTCTATTGATTTCACATACTCATTTCTAAACTGCACAGATGAGCTGTGCCAAATGGACATAGTTTTTCACTTATACACTTATTTTAGGACGCTGCAACAGCTTAGGTTTATATATTCTTAAACAATTTTATGATAATCTTTAGCTTAACGGCATAGCAGGGTTGTGACTGATTCGGATTCAAGCTGCAGTTTACAAGTCTGTTTATTAGAGTAGTTAAGATGTGTACTTTTCATCATAAATTGCGTACATCTTCACGGTTACTTGAACCTCATAAATCACACCACTCGATACTGCGCAGAATTCAACCAGGTTAAAGGTCATAAAGGATGGTTAACCTCACAAATTGTGAGAGTAATTTCCGTGATTGATCTTTAGCTTTGATGAACGCATACACTTGCTCTAAGCGGACAGCCTCAGCAATGGACGCATCCGCCGATTGCTTGTTCGAATCGTGACAGCTGCTAGTGGCAGAACATTTGTTATTGAGATATACGCATTATTTATGGGGTTTGTCTGATTATCCTGCAGCTTGTGCCTTTGGCTTTTTTTCGAAAGGCTGAGTTTAGTAGCTGCAGTTTGCGTTTCTTATGAGAATGGCACTTTTGACATTAGCTTATTGTTAGTGTAAGGATTTGCAGAAAGCTTTTGCAGGATCACCCCTTGTTTGAGTTTCATTTCGACATCTGGAATCATTGACAGCCTGCACATCAAGGGACAGCTGTTGAGTGCTCGCACAGATCGTGACAAAGGGTGGCGAGGGTGAGAATTCTTTTTTCTTCATGGGCAGCAAAACCAGCTCACGGACAATTGACTACGAGCAAATGAAGGAATCATCGAAAGTTTGAAGGCAGGTTTTGGGTTTAATTATCCACGGATTAACCTGTTACGATTTACGAACCAATGATATGATATTTCTGCTGTAAAATATAAGGAGGTTCAAAGCGTCACTTTGGAAGCTACATTAACGAATAGGCGAATGAGTTGCATGTAATTCTGGGGATGTTTGAGGTCATTCTGTCTTTTCCTATGTAAATAAAGTAGTATTGGTGCGATGTGGTTTTGGAGGAGTTTTGTACGAATGGATATGTTCCGGTGTACATTCCGCTGTACTTGCTTGTTATTTGAAGGATATTTTGGTATTATTTCATCAGGCATACTGCTGGAGTAAGGCTGCTGCCTATGATTGTTAGTTTGAACGATGTTACTATTGTCGATTAGCTCATTTGATCTGATAGTCGATTCTTGCTCTAGACAGACAAAACTTCAGTTCGTTTCCGTTTCTTGGATGTTTTCTTTTCTGTTATTTTAGCTGTTTTTTCGTCAGTTTCTTTGATTCTACGCCCGAAGGTTTTTGCATGAAGGTTTTCGGTACTTTTTTACCAGTAAATTAAAATTCGACGAGGTTTGGCGACTGCAGTTGTATTTTCGGCTCCTGACTAATTGATAATTGATAATTTGCTTCTGACATCTGAATTTTTTTTACAATGATCCAGTGTGAAGCCATGGTACTGTTTCGAATATTCATGTGGTAATACATACGTATAAGAACATGAGTCGAAAAGGTGTATCCATTTGTATGTTTTAGAACTCTCATGATGTGGTTCCAGGGATTGCTTAGGGGCATATAGTCTAGCTCTACAGTAGTCATCTACATACCAGCTAATATTTTTGGCGAAACGTAGTACGTGCAGAGTAATTCGATTCAGGATTTAAACGGTAGGATGAAAAACTGCTCACTCCCGTTTTAGGGCATAAGTACGATGTTGTCACATGTTCTTCCTTCTTGGTTTGTGATAAGTGCATTCTTTTGTTGGAATGGTTACAATTAACTTGTGCGAATAACCATTGGTGCTTATTACTCTGCTTGATTTACGTTTTTCTGAAAGAAAATTTTGACTGATGCATGCCGATGTATCGTAAGTCCGTTTCTAGCATGCTGTTTCAGCTTTCTTCAGCTTATTTCTTCAGCGTTTTCGTGTCGATTTCTCCCTCCATCATGAAAGAGTCGAACAGCCTAAAGTCACCTCTCAGACCAGGTTTTTCATCGAATTGTGCCGGCTTAAATAGTCAGAGGTAGCAACCTCTGAACAGTTGTTGTTTTGCTTATATCCAGCCGTTGAATGGTTGCTAAAGATCTGGGGTTGTACGAATTTCCCATGGCATGGGCATTCCCCTGGCATGCAACCTAATTCAGTTGCTTGACGAGTCAGTTCGACGATGCAGCCTTTTTGAAGAAACGCTGATTTTACGTAAAATACTACCTCTATGAATTAAGGATATAAATTCTTTAGAATATGGATAACCGTCTCTTCAGTGAGCCGAAATATTTTTGTGTGATTTATGTTCCTTTGTATTCTGAGTCTATTTATATTAACATTTTAGCGTGGACTTCAATGTTCCAATGAAAGACGGCAAAATAACGAACACTCAGAGGTAACGAGGGTTAGCTCCTCCTGAAGTATATTGCGGTGTAGCTTGCATTCAGGATTGTCGAGTCGCTGCCAACCATAAAGTATGCTCTTGAGCATAGCGCCAAGTCCATCGTACTGATGAGTCATTTGGGCCGACCGGATGGCAAGAGAAACGAAAAATATTCGTTAAAGCCGGTAGCTGCCGAACTGAAGCATCTCTTGAGCAAGTAATGTGTAAACGATTTACTCGTTTATGACGATAGATTGCATTTGATTAATCAATTAAAGTCAGTGTCAGTATCATGATGATGATAATCATGATCTGGCGATGGTAGTAGTAATGGTGATGTTGATAATAATGATAGCGATGGTCCCGTGATGATGAGGCATTTTTGAACGTGATGCATGTAAAACAAGATTATTGGATCGATGAAGATAAATATGAAGATAGACAGTGAATTGTTTGGATATGAACATAAATCAGTTTTCTAATATTCTTTAACGTGAATTTGTAGCAACAGTAACTTTCGTTTCGATGAATTGGCTGTACGAGATAGGACAGATTCTGTCATTAAGTAGCGAATTTGCTTGAATGTGCTAATAAACGCAAGAGTTTCACTAGCGACAACTAATGCAAACAACACGATTACCTATACGACTCCGTTTTAATTTTTTTTCGCTTCATGAAGTCGATTCTGCTCCATGTTATCAACCAATAGGATACTTTCGAAGAGGCAGACTTCTCTGTTCTGGTCGATTTTGCATCAAATGATAGAAGAAACTGAAAACGTCTGAAGGCTTGTTTTATCTCTCACAATTGTGAGTTTGCTGTGGGTTTCATGATCGTTCGATATATAGGTGGTTATATTGTTGTGAAGAGATATTCGCCGTCGGTGAGGATGTCGTCATCGAGCTTCACGGTGCTCCTTACTACTGAATTAGCAAGCTGTTTTGTAGAGCCCTGTATATCCGCTACACAGACGTTGTGTAGAAACTTTAACAGATTCTTAATACGGCCACAATGGTGACCTTTCTGGCTGTCGAAATAGGTGGGTACAGTTGCCATCGTCATTGCAGTTGCTTCTATAAGCCGAAGGTTTCTGCACTGGTGACAAATGTTGCATATTGTGACGGCTAAAGAGTAAAATTTTTTATATCTCGTTCTCCCACGCGATTTCTTGCTTGCTGGATGTCTGCCTCTTTTGGAACGTTGGATTAAATTTCGAGAACTGAATGTGTTGTGAAAATTTGTTTTTGTGTAATTTAATTGTCTGACTGTTTTAATGAACTTAGGTTCTTTATGCTGGTAGAAAGTTTTTTAATGATACAATTTTCAAACGGTTTGCTCCAAATATAAAGTTTATTAAGCTAAATCTCCACGTTTCGAATGAAACTGAATTCATCTTCAGGTGACGTTTTGAAACAAAACGCGGGATGTACTCTTTTCAGTGTTTCATATGACTGCTGCAGCTGCTAACCTATTATTTCGAAGATTTCTGATTGGTTTAAAACCAGCGAATTTGAGAATAATGTAAAATAGGAAGAGATGGCAGAATTTTCGTTGCTTAATTTTTTGTCTTAAAGCTTTCAGATATTATATAAACAATAATTTTTCTTCACTTATACCTAATGAGTGGAACAGAGAATTACTTGTTTTGCCTCTTTGATTTGGTGGCAAGGTGGGTGAAGTTCACTTGGCTTCCCATACGAGCTAATGAACGCACGTTGTTGAATCGTGATAACTAATCAACAGAAATTTTTTCGTTTCAGGGACGTGAAATTTTTGGACGACTGCGTTGGCCCAACTGTGGAGCATGAATGCGCGAACCCGGCAGCGGGTTCCATAATTTTGCTGGAAAATTTACGATTCCACATCGAAGAAGAGGGAAAAGGTGTCAATGCCGCCGGCGAGAAGGTGGTTTGCATTTAAGTATTTATATTGTCGATGAAGTCATGCTTATCAGATTAGTGCATTAATTCGGTGTTTAAACGTAATAATTAAAATATTATGCGTTTTTAAAGAGATCGTTTTAGGCCTGGTTTTAGATTATAGTTATTACGTATATGAATTTACATTTTTCTGTCACTTGTTCGGTTTCACATGGCGAGGTCTTGCCGCCCCCATTGCTTCTACTGGCTTAGGGGTCCATTTAAGCAGACAATGACGACGGTATTTTAGCACCTACGTTGAATGGCTGCATCAGAGCACCATTTCTTGGGTCGAACAAACACATGTTCGAATACCAATGAATATACCAAAAATACACCCTGGTATAGACCGTTAATACACTATGGAGCCATAACCTGCTTAAGCAATCGTGTAGGCTACTAGAATCAAGGGACAGTGTGCTACCCCGTGTGAATCTGGATAAATGACAGAGAATATTGTTGTTAACGGCGGTATTTATGGTATATATATATATACCATAAATGTTTGTTTTATTACACATATGATTCGATGATTGATGAGGTACTTGTTCAGATTAAAGCTAACAAGGAAGACATACAGAAGTTCCGTGAATCGCTCTCGAAATTAGGTGACATTTACATCAACGATGCTTTCGGCACGGCTCATCGGGCTCACAGGTAAACTTTTTCTGTTGGTCCCCGCTCGTTACTAATTCTGAAACGTGATTAGTTCGATGGTCGGCGTGAGTCTCGGCACCCGAGCATCTGGCTTTTTACTCAAGAAAGAGCTCGACTACTTCGCCAAAGCGTTGGACAAACCGGTTCGTCCGTTTTTGGCTATCCTAGGCGGCGCAAAGGTGGCCGACAAAATTCAACTGATCAAAAATCTCTTGGACAAGGTCAACGAGATGATCATCGGGGGTGGAATGGCGTTCACTTTTCTCAAAGTTCTGTATAATATGAAGGTATAATTGCTTAAATACCTTAGTATTTTGCTTATGTTTCAGCAATAACTGAACTGTTTGTCATTTAATATAACTTTCGATGTAATATTCAGATTGGTGCCAGTCTCTATGACGCTGAGGGAGCACAAATTGTCCATGAACTGATGGATAAGGCAAAGCACAATAGCGTACAGATTCATTTGCCCGTAGACATTGTGACCGGCTCAAAATTCGACGAAAACGCAGATATTGGTCACTGTACGATCAAGGACGGTATTCCTGATGGTTGGATGGTAAGAATAGTCAGAACGACGAGCGTATTTTAAACTATGAGACAAAAATGTATCGTCTAGGGTTTGGACATTGGCCCAGAAACTCGCAAGCAGTTTGCAGAGGTAGTGGCTCGTTCGAAAACTATCGTGTGGAATGGGTAGGCATGTTATTACTGATATACTTTAAATGTAAATGTTTTACTGTTTAATCCTTGTGCTGATTTGTAATGAGTGGGAGGTAGGTTATGGCAAATTGTAGCCGTATGGCGCGGGCATCGCGCTGGCATGCCTTGTCATGAATATACCAGGACCCCATTGTGCATTTATTGGTCGCAAGTTAGTTTCACTTACTTCTGATTCTTCGCCTTGTTGTACCAAAGGGCAAATGCCTGATTTCATTGCCTGAAGGAAGTTAGCAGTTATGAAGCAGTATTTGCGCCATTTATTATATTGGCGGCAAGCGTCGAATTTGAAAATACCTAATCGAGGTAGGCCTTTTGCTTAAGAGTATCTTTTTCGACTCCTGTCGCCATGCGGGCATGATTTGATTAAGCCTTACTATTATGACTTTGATCTTAATCGACGATGGTGCACTCACAAATGGTATATTAACTCGGCACTTGTACAGTGCGAATCGAACTACTTTCCCACTGCGTCAATTCTAGTTCAAGTTGAGCCATGAGTTGATGTAATACGGTTAACAGTTCTGTCTTTTATTTTTAGTACCAGCTATTCCTTTCAGCAAGTGTTTTAATATACATCAGAAGGCCATCTGTCATTAATCTGGCTTAACCGTGATGGCCTCTTACGCGGTTAGAGCAAGGGATTGTTGCAGTAATGGGCTAAAAGGTATATGCCGATTAATATAATACCGCATTCGCAGTGATGTTTCTGATTTATCATTATTATAATTACTTATACTGCCTGCCCTCTCGCCAGCCTGAAGAGAGAAAACTGCTAGTAAATAGTTGGTAATGAGGTGCTGAAAGCGGTAATGTTATATTACTGTGTACGTGCATTTTTCGGTGATTTTTCGTACACTGATCGTAACTATGATGGAAACATTTTGTGCTGAAAGCTCCTGTGACTGTTCAACCAAATAAATAGGACTGATTTGACTTTAGCTTATGTCTCTCCAAACTTCATGTGGCCTAACGTATTCAGAGGAGTGAAATACTTTGAGTTTTCGTCAGTGACGGATACCTTTGACGAGCATCAGTCATTTCAGCCAATCGGAGTGAGCTTTTGCGCCACTTAAAAGGCCTTACGAACAGAAGATTTCAGATTTCACTGGGAAGTATCTCAGATGGGAACTTCTTACATTTTTATACCTCTGTTTGATGGCCTACAGACAAGTGGTTTTAAAAATACGATATTAAACTCTAGGGTTAATAATTTAGTCGCGGATCCTACGTTTGTCAAGCGTTCTTTTAATATTTTGCGCAAACTTCAGGCCTCCGGGTGTTTTTGAATGGGAAAAATTTGCTGATGGCACAAAATCGTTGATGGACGCTGTTGTGGATGCGACAGCGAAAGGTGCGATCAGCATCATTGGCGGTGGCGACACCGCGACTTGCTGTGCCAAGTGGCATACCGAGAAGAAAGTCAGTCATGTGAGTACCGGCGGTGGCGCCAGTCTAGAACTGCTTGAAGGTAAGTTTTATTCTGTTTGTGAAATCTGGTGGTTAAATGGTACATGAATACTTCCAGGCAAAGAATTACCCGGCGTCGCGGCGTTGTCACCGGCCCATTGAGTGTTAACATGTATTTCAACTGTCAGTCTGCTATAGGTCCATGCATTTCGTCATATCTTCGTTTATTAGCTATGTCATCACTTCTATTCAAAATGACACTATTAATTTCGGCAGCAGAGTTAGATGATTGATGTTTTGTCTTTACGTTAGAAATTGGCTAAAGCCAAATTAAACGTCTTGAATCGTTGTTGTTAAGTTTTGCAGTTTCAGATCTGTACTAGAAAGCAAAACTTTTAGCACACTAAATTGTGCTATAGTACATAGGGAGGTTTCATGTGGAAGCTGATGTTATGTGATGTCCAGAGTTCTGTTCAAGTGTTGGTAGGCATCCTTATAAAATTGTTCAACAGAACTAAAACTGAAACTTACATGTGATGAAGTCTGCATTGTACTTGTCAGAGCATTACCATAACAGGAAAGCCATCTTACCGCTAGAACTATACACTAGGCTAAATACCCAAAACCTCACCGTGAAAAAGATTTTCCCATACGGACTAGAAACATCGGTAATGGATTGTCATCCTTCATCAGTGAGTGAATCAGTTTCGATGGCCGCTTATCCTACTGGATCCCAGAGGCAGATGCGTCACAGTATCTGTGACGTCCTTAATATTGTGCTAGCACTTGAATTTCAGCAGAAGAGAACCTGAGTCTGTCGAAGCTCTGGCGTCAGGTTGTCCTTGAAGGTCTTCAGCTGGTCAGTTGAGCAAGTAGTTTTATTGAGCAAACAAGCTGTTTCATCTTCATTTCTAGCAGCATTCCCAGGTCGTGCCCAAACCATCACAGTTCTGACTTCTCAGTCTTCAGCAGCAGCGACTTTAGATTAAGGCTCTTCCCGATATCTGAACATCGGATTATTAAACGGGTGAACCCAGCGATTCTTCTAATAAAGCCTATTTTATCTGTTTCTACCCGCAATCCATTTTTTCTAGTTATGGCCCTTCATTTATGAACATAGAGATGAATCGACTTTTTCTTTATACTCAGCTGTGCCATTGTGGTTCTGAATGAGAACGCAGCATTTTATAAGCTGCCTGATCTCTTCCTCTCATTTTCCAATATCAGAAAACACGACTAAAAGTACGTGAACTTCTATATCTGTTTCATTGACTGGGTACAACTTCTGAAGCATGCAGTAACGGAGAATGGGAATATAACTTTTACTGGTTCCAGTAGGGCTTGCTACGGAAGAAGTTTGCCCCTACCTTACATACAGTTTCCTTTTAGATCAAATTTTCTTTTCATTATTTATCAGATTCGTTTTGTACATTTTCATATCAAAGAACGTATGTCTCCTAAACCTATGTTGTATTCTTTTACTTTACAGTCTCTGAAACTGAGATTTACCAACGGCGTATTGGACGGATTTTATTTGCATTGAAAAGCACATTCGTAACCTAAACTGACAGGAGATGCTGTGAACAGGAGATGATTAATGTACAATGCAGCGGTAGATAAGTCTGTCAGATGATGGTGACAACAATGTGTGTAGCTGCTGTGTAGTTGACAAATTTTCTTTCAGTTTTTCTCGTGATATAAACAATTTATGGATAGTAGGTTAACGAATAGCGTGTAATAAGTCTGCTTTCATAAAATTGTTTTTTGTAGTGTTATGAAACACAAAATTACAAGGACCGATCGGCAGAGGCTGCAGTAGCATACTTCCGAGCGATTTTACTGTTCACAAGCAACCGAAATGAGTAATATGCTGAAATGTTGTAGTTGAAAAATGCTCAGCTGAGCCAAAATTGATTAATGACAGAAAATTCATAACAAAATCGACTCATAAAACCGTATCACAATAACCAAGCATCATAGACCGCAAGCGATGGAAGCTGGGGGGATTAACAAATGGCTGGATCGGAAGTAAAATGAGTGAAGTCGACCTTCAATCGTTCGACAGTTCAAGGCGATAAAAATTATTTTTGTAATATTAACGAAAAAGTAAAATCGCTGAGTAGCGGCGAAACTCATGCTGCCAGGAAATGTGCACACGGTGCAATAGAATCCGGCAGTTCGGGCTCAGGGGACAGCCCTGACTTGAGTAAGGCATCACCTAAAACAGGTTAAATCATGAATGGGAAACTATGAATATCATACTAATGTTTAAAAAATGATTCCATTTTTTAATTTCAAAGGTCATATAGGGGGAAAGTTTTATATTAATTACCTTAAAGTTTCACACTAATTACCTCAACCTAACTAAACTCAGCCTTTATAATTCCAAAAATGACTACCGATGAAAAGGTTAATAAAACAAATACAATTAGTCACATCTATTAAATGCTCTTTACCAACAAATCAAAAACGTATACTGTTTCTACCGCAATCAAATCTAAAATCTAACACACAACATCAGCACAGGATTTTGAAATTATAGACTACAATGCTAAAATCTAACACACAACATCAACACAAGATTTTGAAATTATAGACTACAATGCTAATTTCAAAAGTTCGCTTAAATATTATTCATGGTTTCATGAGCAAAACGAAAGTTCTCTGGTTAAAAAACATCACCAAAAAATCGTATTTTTAACATGGAAGAATCTATATATGCAAATTAAATAAAATAAATTAAAAGGAATATTTGAATCCTTTATGCAAGGGGAAATGATCGATGATCGTCATATATTCTTGAGTACCTTAATCCTCAAAGGATTTACACCGCATAAATTTTATTACATCAAATCTTGGAATTTCGAATCGAGTTGTATCCGTCTTTAGGGGATGTGACACCCACAAGTATAATGGGAAAAGTTAGCAATGCCGTTGC